CAACCTGTTCTCTCTCTCTCTTTTTTTTTTTTCTCCCTCTTCTTGGTCTATTTTCAGATCTTTACATGTATATTGGAATATCTACCTTAAGATCAGAATATCCTAATAATCCCTTTAAAGTCTGAATTATTGTTTTGCTGTCAACCAGAACTCCTCTAGCACGCTAGGTTTTCATTATTTGTGTTTTACTCTGGTATTTAGGAAAAGGAATACGTAGAAGATAAATGCAGTTGGTCAATGAATGCTTGTAGGATGTTACTCTAAATACAAGGGGGTGGTATGTAAAGTAAACAGAACTAGCTGCTATTTTGCTGCATAGTTTAACGTAGCATATACTATCTGCATGTTAAAAAGCACATACTCCATTTTGGTTTTGCGACAGAAACAGATCCCTTGCCACAGCATTTTTTTTTCTCTTGTACTTTTCGAAAAAGGGCATAAACCAAACTGTGCAACTGAAGATCAAATATGTTTTTTGGGATGCAGTATTTAYGGTGTACAAGTGAAAAAAGACCTGATTGTAACTTGCAAAACATCTAATCTGGTTGAAAGGGTGGGTGTGAGTATGTTTGGTGAATAAAGCTTATACTAGTGTGTCTCCTGGCTTCCAAAATCATTTCATCATCTGGTACATGAGATAAAATACAGATGTTTTGTGCAAAAACCACAGAGCTAAATCTCCATTTTTTTTTCTTATTTGCTTGACTCATCCTGTCTTTTTAAAAGCCTGGATACCAGACAAGATCTGTTTCATTATTTTAGACCTTGATATGAGATATTAATGGTTCCCAATATGAACTGAATTGTTTGTCCAGCAGAGTATTTGCCCAGATAATATCCTTTCAGAAAATTATTTTTTTATAGGATTTTCTGATTGATGCTCATGAAGATTCACAAGACTGGTCAATCATTTATTCTTATGCAAGAAATTGAAGTAAAACTTAAAAATGGGGAAAAAGAAAGTGTATTCCACATTCAAAGAGATTTTACTCCTTGCCTAGATGAATCAATCTCCCAAATTGTAAAGAAATTCTGACTGTGTGTTGGTATATGGCTGTGAAGTTCTACTCTGCTACCCTTTAGTTTATGTTAGCTTAAGAAAAAAACCAACATAACAGAAGCTTCAGAAACAACTGCTTCCATATCCCTAAAATGTGTCCTACACRGTTGGTCAACTCAATTCACTAAAACTGTAATGAAACCCACTGAATCTGTGTGCCCAGAAGAGCAGACAAGAAATGGTTTCAGTATTTTTTAATAACAGTTCAAAGGCTACTCTTCATTAGCAGTTTTGAAAGAGAGAGGGTAGATGTAAATTGAGTGTATTAAAAGCTAAAGCCAACTAGCGCATTTTGACTCTCTTCCTAGATGTGTCATCTTCCAGTCCTGTCAGAGGTTGGGGATGAGCTGAGGATGAGTTTCCACGACAAGGGCGAGGTTGTTTATCCTCAACTCCCTACACCCTACCCCCAAAGTGGGAGGACTACTAATTATTTGACCTGTATCCTTTAATTTAAAGCTCATCACTTCCACTGAAGGTGGGAGGCAGTTTTACGGTGTTAGGAGGCTAATGTAAATGCATTGAGGAYGTGCTGGGTACCCAGTCCAAGGAGCATATGTTGATGTACAGGCACAGAGTACGAAAGCCAAAGATCAATTCAGAGCCACAGTCTAGCCTACTTTGGACTGGTGAGCAAACCTGGATATGTTTTAATATCCCTTGAAGGATGAACAAACTTCATGGAACATGCCCTTGCTGCATGAAACAGGCTTCCATTCTTTTGCAAACAGAATGATGACAGACAAAATGTTTATTTTAGTAAGAAGAAACCATCCTGAGGACAATCAAAATAGCTATCAAGGCAAAGAGTAAAAGAGCAATAAACCTCGAAAAAATATCAGAGGAAGTAGTGATAAACCTCGAAAAATGCCATGATTTTGCACCTATACATGACAGAAGGAGTGTGTTATTGTTCCCATAACCCCCTTCTATATAAACAATGGAAAAGAAGACACCTTATAGAACTGTTTTAAATGCTTTGAAGAGGGATCATTGCTCCATGCCAACGGAGATTTTTTGTGTATAACTATGCCAGCCAAAATCCCCACCAACCAAGATAAGTTTCAAGGAATGTGGGCAGATTTCATCTYATCCACTCTTGCACTTGTCTTACTGTGTAACATTTATGAACTTTTTTGAACATAACACTGAATGATAGAGGCTCTCTGTCCTAAATTTTAGTGATTTTCAGAAAACTGTTATTAATAAAGAAGGTTACTGTAACAGATTCTGAAACTCCTAACACACAAACATATATATATTTAATCATCTAGGTATTTTAAACCATTTTCTGGCACTCTTTAAATAGAATTTATTCTATTGGTGTGAGGTACTCCTAGAGTTAAAGAAATAGGTCTCTGTCTCTCTCAAATCTTCCATTTATGCGAGGGATCTTCAGTATGGAACTAGAATTAAAAACAAGCCAAAATGAAAACAGGATGATGCAGCTGGGATTCTGAACTCAGCTGATAATCTTTTTCCCGAACACATCAACAGATGAAGTGAGTGAAAGAGTGATATTTTAGTCTAGAATATCAGCCAGTTAGATTTTGTAATTAATTTGCAAGTGAAAATGAATGTTATGGGAGACAGATGATCTGAAGCATCTGAAGAACTGGCATAAACATCTGATGAATGCAGTTATTCAAGGAGCACCTTGGGTAAAACTAGTGACGTTTTCATTAACAAATGGACAGTATAGGCACTATTATTTGGAAGTCGACTGTAGTGAGAAAAGGCCCAGGACCAACATCATTTTCTCAGTGGTTATCTGAAATATCKGCTGTTGAATATTGGGATCCACAGTAAGTCAACCCAAGAGAAGCTGAGCATCAGGGTGGCACCAGCTAGAGTAAGGATTGTTTGACTTTAGGGCAGTTACTGGCTCAAGCCAGTACAGCTCAAGTACAGTATTTTACTGTTTGAAATGCCCTCAAGTATTTTACCTATCTGAAGAAAAGGAAAACAGAAGTCAGYGAGAGAAAGAGAGTCCACAGCAGGGTAATGCGGAAGTGTAGGGGCCTGCATCAGCTGCCCATTCAGAAGAAAATTGCTGACGATTAGTTACCCATCTTGGTCGTGTCAAAAACAGATTGGATTGCAAGACTAGGGAGACCAAAATATAGATGTGTTCTTTCTTGGACACCGGCTCAGAGTGTCTCAAATGGAAAAAAAATTTACACATCTGGACGAGACATGATGAAATGTTCAGATGAGGCTGCTTCTCTATTAATATGTTTCACCTTTCACCTTTATAGGTCTCTTACCTTTGAAGTAAAGAAATACTTGTATTTTTTGATATAACGTATCTTCATAGATGGGCAATAATTAAAAATGATCAACAATTTTTTGGAAAATATTTGTAGGTATATTTTAAATTTAATGAGAGATGATAAAGATCCAAGGTTATCACTGTTATTGTGTTTGAGCCAAATATATGTTTTTAAATCAAATCAAAAATGTGCATTTCATAAAAAAATAAAACTGCAAGGGGCTGTAAATGATCCAGTTCATCACTCCACTCAATAAATACTCGTGATTGCTTCTTTTAGTGTGTTTTTAAATATCTCTAGAGAGATAGATCTCAGACAGCTGGTAAGATTGTTTAATTCTTCCTCTAGAAAGTCCTCTTTTCTTTTCCAATACCAAATCTAAATCTCCTTTTCTGTATTTTAAGTGTACTATTTCTTGTCATGTTTATCACACATACAGAGACCTGATCTGTCCCATTCTTCTTTGTGAACTCTTTCCTTTTAGGTCATTTAGTCAAAGACCCCTCCCCACCATATACTCTCAGATTTGCCTAGTAAATATTTTTTTCCCCAAACTTCTGGTAATTCTCATCATTTGCTGTCTCCAGTTGGGCCTGTTCCCTCTTTAAACACTGTGCCCAAAACTGGATGTGTTATTCCAACTAAACCATTACAAATACTGAAGAGAATGGGAGGGTTATATGACAGTGGCTTTCCCCTCTGCTTTTAGTAATCAGCCAAGTTACTTCTGAAGTACTAGATAATTTTTTACTCTTTGGAGGCTGTGCATATCATTTTACATGTCTTACTATTACTTACTATTCTAGTTATTGAGATGCTGCATAGACTGGACAGGATTTCTTCACAGCAACAAGATTCATTCAGAAAGAATATTCATAATAAATAAGTTTTAATTTGTGGGCTGGTCAATAAATACACMATTAGCACTGCCTGGTGCAGTAATAAAATCCATTCAATTGTATAATTTATTCATAAGGCAAACAACAGTATTCTATAATTCACTATTGGTTTAATACTCTTTTTTAAACAGTATATGACAGTACTCTGATGCATTGTCAGATGCTTCATGAAGGAAAATAATTAAAGTACTACAAATTCTTTCCAGTATGTTTAATTTTTGAAAGCATTTGTCATACAAATATTGCTTTTGAAAGCAACTTGTATTATAGATAAGAGAAGCAAGAAAGAACTGACAGTTTTGCCAAAGCCATTAGTTGTGGAAATGGCAAAAGCAGGACAAAAATTCAAGAATTTAGTTCTATATCCCGTACTGATTCCCTTAGATAATAGGTGCATATCTGTGTGGGGATAGAAGGGAAAAGAAGAGAGCGTGTTTTAAATATTGTCCACACACACCCACATTACTTGATTCTTTTTAGTTTCTCCAACTTATATTCATCTATCTGTGGGGAATCAACAGCCAAAATTTTGTTATGAAATGGCTTATAAAGAAAATTTAAGCTGAATTAAAATTTTATGCTCTTTATAGAATCATGTCTTTCACTTTGTGATCAAACTAATGTTTRTAATGTCAGTAATTAAAAAAAAAATCTAGTTAGATGAATGGATATTTTCAGCAAAACTGCATGATCTTGCTCTACTCTTTCCAAACTTTCTAACCATCTGCAACGAAATAAAAGAAGACCAAGATTTCTGTAGCAACTTACCACTCCAGAACTTCCCATCGGGCCGAACATTTCTTGGATTCAGACACTGACCCCGAGATAACTGCAAGTTGTTCCTGCATGTGGTGCAGTCCTTGTAGCTGTACCCAACACACGTTGCACAGCTCTTGTGGCATGCTTCACATTCCCTGGAAATGCTGTCCTTGAAGAAACCAGCTCCACACTCGCTCACACACACACCACCTGCAACGGAGACGGAGCCTGAAACCATGGGATCAGCTGTCCCGTGTCCATCAGGAAGAAGTGGATAAAAGTGCTATTAAACTTTATTAGGCATGGAAAAAAAGGCAGTACCAGCTCTAGGATTGCTAATTACTACTAACTGCTGTCTAACTAAAAACAGTTTAATCTATGACACAAATTTATTGGAAATCTTAAGATATATCTTGATATTTCTTTGTAGTCCCAGCTACATTTTACATAAAAGCAGGTAGGATATTAAAAATCAAGCAACTGGGAGTTCTGAGGATGAAAAACAGTACATCCTGTGAGSTTAATTTGTCTGATTTTATCTCTCAAAAAATACCTTTATGTATTACTTTAAACTGGGAAGTGGTAGAGCATTTCTTTGTCTCTACAAGAAATAGCTTAAGAAAAACAAACAACRCATTAGAACTTATGAAACATTTTGTATATATCAACACTCTAGATTCTTATTGTGAATCCTGAATTCAGTTGCTTAGACAAAATTCATAAACCCTTCAAACTGATCTGCAATTATATTTTTATCTAGCTGGGTCTTCATTCATATGCTAAATCCTGATATGTAAAAGCCTTACAAAAGTCTGAGCTCGGGTCATAATATCATAGGTAAGTCTCAATTTATATTGGCTCAGTGTAGAATATAGGACCAAAAATCTCCCTAAATTATAGATATATATGCTCAGTTTGAGGACTAGGTGAATCTCTAATTTCTGGTGAATGTAAAGCAAATCCAATAAAAGGTTTTGGATACTGCCACAGTTACCCTGTAAGTTATTACACTGATAGCTTTTCTTTTTTTAAATTCCCCMAATTTGAATTAAAAAGCAAATAAACAAGCAAACAAAAACCTACCGGATTGTCTCAGGCTGTCCCTACAGAACTTTCCATGAGCATGAGGCTTTCTACTCTGTTATTGATGCATTCAGTAGGCAATGCACAGGAATATCACAACCTTGGGATTTCCTATGATTCAAATTCAGCAGTATGTAAATCTTTTTGTGTATATACTGTACCTGGTTCTTTGCTTACCCAAGAGATAGAAGCCTTCCTTACACGAGTCGCACTCATCCTTGCCACAGGTATTGCAGTTGCTTGGGCACTCTACACACTTCATGGAAATTTCATCTCTGTAGGTATTTTCTGGGCAGTATTTATAGCAATGGTTCTTATACCTAGAAGATGAAGTAAAATACTATTGATAAGTTTGTTTTGAGGTCATTAAGATTTTTTTTTTCTGTGTATTTCTAGGTAGAGTAATGATAAGGCACTATGCTTGCCCTAATTAAAAAAAAATTTATTCCTCTAATGAAGGATTGAAAATGCATTTGTGGATATGCTATCAATTCTACTGCTAAGCATTAACAATATATTCTTGTGAATATCTGGGCTTGTAAGAATAAAAAAAGTGTTAGTTTTTTTCAAGTTTAGGCACAAAACCATTACTCATTGGAGTTCATTATGCTGTTTTTGTAAAGAGTGGATCATTGTATGCATATAAGAAAATAACATTCTTTATAACTAAATAGAACAGCCTTTTTGTCAAAATTTTATTTAATTTTATCTTGGAAATTGTTATATGGATTTCTCAGTTGTACCTTTGAAAAATTTGCAATGCTTCCTTTCTCTCTGGTTAAGTTAAATTTTCCATTTATCTATTATTTTAGATTCTTTAATTAACCACCCCAAATATTCAGGAATGCTGGTATCAGAACTGTACCTAATATACTAAAAACCTAGAAGTTCCAAATCTAGAGGCAGCATATGTACACAGATCATACCTGTAAAGATCATGTTGGCCTGTAAGCTTTAAAAGAACTTGATGGTGTATGACAGGCTAGTTACTTAGCATTTCCCAAGTCTTTTTCCAAAGCCTCTGTTTTCAGATTTGCAATAGTTAAAATGAGTGGGACAGCACAATATTGATTTATATGGCAAAGTTTGCACTTTTTCTTTGGATTGTACTGACATGAAGAGCTATACTCACATGTAGTAGTTCTGAATGCAGGTCATGCAGATTCTCGGGTCATCTAGAATTTAAAATGTGAAATCATGTAAATGATATTCACAGTTAAAATCAAAGCACGAAAGAGCAGCACTGTAACATTGTTCCTGTGTTAAAATCTCTTATATGAAAATCATTAGAGACATTACAACATTATTATCTCTGAAGATATTTTGSGTTTTTTTTGGAGATGTGCCCTTATGCAAATCGGTCCAGGTCTGTATTTTTCAAGTAATTTTTAATTTTGTGTTTCCAGCATATGGCATCTAGAAAGTGTTGAACTGTTGGAAAGTACATAACTTCTGAAAAACAGATTTTCCCTAGGAAATCATATCCAGCAAAAGGGACTCTTAAAATGAGTTTCTAAAGTATCCAAATCTGGGGCTTCAGCCTATTTCCTTATTTGTGACAGAGACAAATTATAAGCATTTGGTACCCCTAATCCAATTTTTCAGAGATATATGTGTAATCTTTTAATCTTGAAAATTTTATCCTATGTTAACACACTTCTGTATTATTATGAGAATATTATTATAAGAAAATATTTAGGAGTAAATTTTTGCATCAGAAATTTTTATATTATAAAATTTTGTTAAGTGAAAGTGTCCTAAGAATCCAAATTCTTAGGATTGTTACAATGACAAAATTGGTTTCATGATCATTTAAAAGGAGGAATATTTTCTATAAACTTTCATTGTCTTATGTTCACTTTCCATTTCCTTTACCTTGCTCAAATATCCCAAAGGGAGCTTAACAGAAGGAAATAGAGCAACCTGGGAAAATATATTTGTAAAATGTATAACCATGAAATGCCTATAAATTATTTTTGGTATTAAGAGTATTCATAAGACAAAATTTTCAAAGAGTCTATTTGAACTATGTCTACAATAAATGGCATTTTAAAAATGCAGACTTACTAGACAATATGCACTTGATTTTGCAAGTAGTTTTAACAATTCGTGTATGAAGTGTAAACTTTTTTTTTCTAGAAACACTGCAGATCTGTGAAAATATTCTCTTTACTGAGCATAAGCAGAAACAGCAGTCACTTAATTTGGTATGTAAGTATGTAAATACTTTCTATAAAAAATCTTCCTTTATTTCTAAATAAAAGACATTTGGTTTGCCTAAGGCTTCTTTTTGAATGATTTTTATAGGATATTTTTTGAAGACATTACCTCAGGCATGTATTTCCTGTTTTTTTTTTTTTTTTTTCCAGTGTTTATATAGCATTACCGGGAGCAGGCTGGCATTAGTCTATGAAGAATTAGTGCATCAACACCCCAACTACCTTTTGAAAACTATTCTAGCATTGGCATTATTGGCAGTCCTTATGTTTTGTTGATGGAAAGAACACAGTATGCATAAAAGAGACACTGTTAGAAAATTTCTGGGATCATTAGCAGGATCATTTGTCTAACTCTCCATATACTTTCTTTCTTTTATGGAGAAAAGTCTCTTTCCTCTCTTGCTTGGGTGAAGTTTAAATAACATTTTTTTTTCTTAGTTGCCTGTTCAGTTTTTGTCTGTATAGGAGACTGTAGGGATAGCTCTATTTCAGACAGATAYCAACTCTGTCTTTACAAAAAAAAGCATGATGTGTGATTGTCCCCAGAAGAGATTGGAATAAATTATTAAGTGAGCTATTTAGACAGAAGTATCTAGAAATGAAAGAATTGCTGTTTTAGATTGCATGTTTAGTACATGATGTCGAGATGGTAAAAAACACATATCCCAACCAATACTTGCATGTTGCTGATTATATACCAGTGTGGATAGAAATGCTCATAACAAGTYTTGTAAGAAAAGACAGTTTGCTTTTTCTTCACCTAGGAATGCCTTGAGCCCTCCTGCAAGATGAAATTCTTTGGAGTGGAGGGAAGAAATCTTTTGATAATTTTGCAAAATGAGACCATCAGGAAGTTATGGAAGCAAATAAAAGCTACTGTAAGTTCAGTTTAATTTAAATTTCAGGCAGAAATGCTTTTTTTTTTTTTTTTTCCTGATATTTTTTGTGGGATCTTAGAACTATTCATATGACCAAATAGCAGTCACTGAGCAGTGAGACCAGTCTAACTGTTGCAGGTATCAGGAATTTGTTTGCTTATTGCCTCTGACACAGCTGTACAAATATCCATGCCTCTTCCTTTTATCTGATTCCACTATGTAGCTGGAGTCAAAATTGACAGAAAACTTTGCACTTTACTGATTTTTTATTCAAAGAACATTCAAAATAGAGAAGGATTGCAGGGGTACACATCTTGCATTTTAAACAGAAATAGTGATCCTCTGAAAATACCTAACCTTTAAGAGAGACTTTCTCTGTCATTGGAAGTGCATTTGGGTTACAGTGTAACTTCTTGTTATGTTCCTTCTCTATGTTAAAAATTCCTGGAAACTAATCAAATATTTAACTTGAAGTTTTGGCGATTGTGTGGCTTAGGTACATTTGCTTATTTATGTCTTCTATTTGTCTGTATCTATGTGGGCTGCATGAGTAGGCAATGAGGTGGGCTGAGAACTGGGGAAAGAGACAGCTGAAGGTTGTGATCCGTTCGGCTGGAGGCCTGGTRTCCTCCAGGGGTTAACACTGATTCCAATCTTGTTCAATTTATTCCTGTGACCTGGCTGAAGGGACAGAGTGCCCCTCAGCAAGTTTGCTGATGATACAAAACAGGGAGGAGCGCCTGTGTCATGGAACACCTAGGRCACTAGTCACTAGGTCAGGCTGGGGTAGGCCTGTTGGAGAGCAGCTCTGCAGAGAAGGATCTGGGCATGCTGGTGGACAAAGAAGGTGATGATGAGCCTGCAATGTGCCTTTGTGGACAAGAAGGCAGGTGGTCTTCTGGCCTGAATTAGGAGGAGTGTTGCCAAGAAGCTGAGGGAGCCGATCCCCTGCTCAGCCCTGGCGAGTCCACATCTGGAGTGTTGTGTCCAGTTTTAGCCTCCCCAGCACAAGGGAGACGTGGAGCTACTGGATAGAGTCCAGAGTAGAGCTACAGAGATGATCAGGGGCCTGGAACATCTCTCCTATGAGGAGAGGCTGAGTGAGCTGGGCCTGTTCGGCTTGGAGAAGGAAAAACTGAGAGGAAATCTTGCAAAAATCTGAGGGCAGAGGGCCAAGAGGATGGGGCCAGAGGATTTTCAGTGGTTCCCAACAACAGAGCAATAGTCAGTGACCACTAACTGAAACACAGGAAGTTCCAACTAGGCACAAGAAAAATGTCTTTACTGTGAGGGTGCCAGAGAGCACCTGAGAAGCTGTAGAGTCTCCTTTTCTGGCTATAATCAAAACCTGACTGAACAGGACCCTGTGCAACTGTTCCAGGTGACCCTGCTTGTGCAGGTGGGGTCAGGTAAGATAATCTCTAGAGACCTCTTCTGGACTCAATCCTCTGTGATTCTGTGATATCTGTAATGAGATATATATTGTTTAGCAACTCTCATAAGCTGCTGCTTTTTCTCTTTACAACAGACTCACCAAACTGAAGCTCTACTTCTTATATTTGGGGATTTATTAAATTTAAACTATCAAGGAATGATGAACTTAGGTGAGAAAGGATGCAAAGAAGGCAACCATTTGATAGCATGTAGAGAGAAAATGAAACGTGCAATTATTCCTATAGTAACAAATTAGTTATTTAATACATGTTAATATATTAGTCATTTAATACATGCATTAAATAAAATTGTATTAAATTACTAAATTAAAATTAAAATAATAAAAATTATAACAATAAAATAATTTGGAAAGCATTTTTAAGAATGAGATAATGCTATTAATTTAATGGATCTCTACACACTGTTTTGCAACTTTGGCTCCTTTAAAATCTGCAAWAATTGGTTCCTGAACTAACAGTAACATGTTTACTGGGCTGAAGTCAGTGTGTTCATGCTATATTCACTTAGACCTCACTCATTTGTCCATGAAATACCTAGATCTCTGTGGCATGAACTTAGTTGCTTTATATATCATGCTACAAACTGCTTCTTGTTCTGAGAACTGCTAATATTTTATCTATATGTTAGCTGTATTTGTTTCTGTTTGGCTTAATTTCTACTGTGTTGATCCTATGGTACTTCTCTGAAGAGAAAACCAAAACTAATTTTGATAGCAATGGAAGTAGGTTTCAATCAATTTTAAAATATAAGGCCTCAGACACAGATGAAATCCTCTGTGAATTTCTGGTTTTATTACAGCTTTCTTAGATAAGTAAAGATCATCTAAAGTTCAAGGAAAAAGTCATTTTGTTTCTTTCCTTTTCTGTAATAAACTCATTCCGTGCTCCTTCCCACCTTTCCCAAGAACAATATATGTGAAGTGGAGCTATATTTTAATACAGAGAAGGTACATGAAAAGATTAGCTATTGGTTAAAGGCCAAAGGTTCTTGCTTTCAGTTGGAGCTCTCTGATTTGAAATAGATTAAAGGTCTTTTTTGCTATTCCAGATGGGAAATATGAGTATCAGTGTTACAGGCCCAATATTGTTGGGCTAGAAGAGTATTTTTGTTTAAATATGTAAAGGAAAACTCTAAGCAATTTTTGTAACATTACTTATAATCTTAATGAAATATTTACAACATAAGKTCATTCATATTAAAAATGATCTCTAGACTGCTATGGAGATCCTTGTCACTGTTTCACTGTATTTGTATTTTTGCAGTATTTAGACAGATCTTAATTCTGGAAACTCTACACTACAAGCCCACTGTACTATTGAGTAGTATTTACTTAAAGAATGCCATCAGATTAGACCCAGATCTTTCAATGAATCATATAGATGCTTAACTTTATCTACTGTACACAGTAAAGATGGGAGTACTGTATGTAGTAAATATGGGAATTGAAGTTAAGTGTGTGGGTACATTTTGAAGGATCTGTACTTAGACTGTAACTTACTTTTGCTTCTTGTTTTGATTACTAACCTTGATTTTTAACTAAATTTCTTGAGGTATTTATGGCATTCTGGCTCAGTTGTGAGCCCAGAATGTTCTGAATGTGCTCAATACTTTTTGTATCAGAAGCTGAAGATACTCAGTGCCTGCAGTGGAATGATTGGTTTACTTCTCTTTTGGGATTTAATTAAATATAATGACTGAAAATTACTTTATATTACACTGCGGTTTTCCTTTAAAGTTCAAGTTGGTTAATTTCTACAGTTAGATTTTAGTTTTCCTTTTATATTGCCCTGAACAATAACATGCAATAAAATAAAAGAAATACTATAAATTACAACATATTATCAGCAAATATATTTATATACTTTAACTAGATTAGAGTATTTTGACTTTAGCTTTATGGCTTCTCAATTAGAATAACTGAAATAGGCACTCTAATCATAATGGATTTTTGACCAGATATGGGTCCAAATGAAAACTCAGGTTACAGTAGGCCTTAAAATGAAGGAGACCTATGTTCTGGATTCACCAACTGTGGTTTAGATCTCCTGGATTGTGAGAAAAGCCAACCATTTTTCTATCTTTCTTTTTTTGTTGCCTTTCCACCTCTTCCTACATTTGTTTTTTGTCAATAAATCTGCTAATCTKCTTTATCTTCTTTCTTCTGAATTCTAACATTGTAGTTTATTTTGACAGATTACCAGGAAGTCGGGGAAAGAATATRATGGGAGTTTTAACCGAGGAGAAAGCTGGGTCCTGTTCTTCTTCTTCTTTTTTTTTTAATAAATTTCAAAGTGCAAAAACTGGCATCAATGTAGCCAAATTATTAGCCAAGGTATTTAATGAATTAAATATACTTTTCATCTTTCTTTGAGAAAACCATATACTATTAAATTTACCTACAATAAATTTATGTAGAAATTTTGCTATAAATATGGTTACCTTTACTTAGATTTTTTTTAATCTTTTTTGTTAATCTTATTAGCGCGATAGAGAGGAGAAATTTCAAAGTTCCCGAAGACAACACTGAACATTGTTCTTCCTATTTATGAAGGAATCACTGGTGCAAGCATAAGGCTAAAGAAGCCAGGGAGCTATATGTCTGTGTTTGCAGAACTCATGGTTTGATCTAAAGCTGAGATGAATTGCACTGGCTTGCCCCAAGCCTAGATTTTGTGTAAGAAACAATTTTCTTTCTCAGAGGAAAATATTTCAAAGACACTGTTTTCTTTAGTAAGCACATTTTATATTTTTAGAATGTAAGGAAATATTTTTGACCAAAATATAATTTTGGAAAGACAACATCCTTTAATGTAATGTTCTGCCCTACATTAAAATGATAGTAGTGAAAATTGAAAAAAAAAGAGTCCTGCTCCAAATCTTACTTTTATTTTACTTTTTTTTTTTTTTCTTTTTTTCCACAGATTGCATATTCTCACTGCAGAAGCCTGTGGAAACAAGTCCTATTATCTGCAAATCTGAAGCTCATCCTGCAAGATTAACCTCTTGAGGAAGATTTACTCTGAGATAAAAGAGGATCCTTATCATAATTTCCTCTGGTATTTTGAAAGCCAAGATCTATTCATCATCAGGGATGGCTTGAAGAAACGAAGTTTTCCTTTGTGTTTCTTAGGTTGCTATGGGAACTAGATCACTTTTCACTCCTTTATCATGAGCACAACAGCCAGAATCCTGATCTGTACCTGAGAGTTGGGTCTTTATTCACAGTGCTGCCCTGTAGCTATCATGTGGGTTCCTTAAACCCTCTCCAAACACCCTCTCTCACTCCTGCTACATTATAGTCTCTATCCCCCACCTTTTCTCCATCCCAACACACACTTTGTACAATGGATCGAGTGGAGTATTTGTATGTTATTCCATCCCRCTTTCTGCCTTTGCATCTGTAACTGCGTCCCCTATTAATCTGGATCAAATAGTTTGAGAGCTGTTCAGGTCTTACCTTCAGCCCTACATGCCTGTTCTGTAGGTTCATTCTCAGGAATACTTCTCCTCAGAGTTTATCAGAGTTTTTCTAAGGATTTGTTGAATGAAAAAAGTGCAATGTATTTTTTGAACATTATTCCCTCTACCCTTCACTGAGGAGCACTTTACAGTCTCTTTGAAAACGGTSCTGATGCAAAGGTTGCAGGAGCTACTCTATGCCTCTCTCTGCAGAACCCTGGATGTGTCAACATGTGKTGGGACGAATGGTGTTTGGCCATGAGTAGATGAGGTAATATCTGGCTGAGATAAGTGGAAGTGAATCAGCAAGTAAGTGGGTAGGAATTGGATCAGGACCATGAGGCCCGTTTTTGGAGGACATTGACAAAAATGCACATAWATTTGGGCAAGAGACTGGCTTTCAAACTCCCTCCTGAGAGGAAGAAGTATTATGTTCATTCTTATGTGTTTCACAGTGGCTGCATGGGACAGTTGAGCTACAAATATGTAGCTCTTCCATAGCCTAGGTGCTCCTATTTAGCATTATTGGTTAATGATGTGGCAGCTCTGCCTGTGAGGTGTACATGTGCAGGGCAGCAGGTAGTGCATATCAGAAGTTTATGTCATTTGTCATCAGATTTTATGTTTTCACTTACAGGTGCAAAAGGGCAAATACAATATTTTTTATTAGAAAGACAGGTGAATCTGGCTGAGAAACTGTTCCAGTCTATGTGCTATAACTATAGGCAGGGCAAATAATGTCTAGCACTGCAATGTTCTGGCATAGTATTAATTTTGGCATTCTTTTAAAATAATTGATGGCTCAAATTTGGCAGTAACCTCACGCAATTACCTGCCTTTATCTTGTCCTGATGGGGCTTACAGCTGCATGCTTGCTAAAGAGTTAAGTTGAACATTGAAGAAAGTTTCTGATATTCATTATGATTTTAAGCAACTTGAGAAAGTATGAGTGCAATTATGAAGTCAGATCTAAATGTGGGAGTAAATGAACTCTACTGAAGGTCAGAACATAGGTGCTGCCCAAAGAAAACCCTCCTCTTTTACCATGTTGCTTCAGCAGAATTTTCCCTTTCAATATCTGCCTATATTGAGGAAAAGTTGATGTGGTTTGGTTTAAATTTATAGACTTCTTGGGGTCTTCTGGTGACATTCTTGGAGACTTGACTTGTCTTTCGCCCTCCTTTTCAAATTTCAAATTCAAGAGCTCACAAGCTGCCATATGTGAGTGCTAGGGATTTTTCTTCTCCTTAAAATATAGACAATCTCTGAATTCACAAAGTGAAAAAGAAAGAAATGTATTGTCTGTACTTAAGCTGTAAATGACTGACCTTGACTACGTTTTTATGACCGTCTCTTTCTTTACTGATAGACTTACTCTGACTTCTGCCTTACCCCACAGTAGCCCTGAAAGTAAGTAGGAACCAGACTTGGAGCCAAACAGGTGTATTTCATTGAGGATTCTGGGATGAATGACAAATTCTYTCAGTCCTTCACCTCAGCTTCTCACAGCTGGAGGGTTCCCTTAGTACTCTTCTTATATTTTTCTTACAGGGAAGTTTTTACATTCTTTGAAATGTCTGATGCAGGATATAAAGTATAAAATTGACATAAATGCGTATTAGCTGCAGCTTAATGTATCAGTAAGGTCAGTACTGATGAAGAGAAGAGATCTCACACCCATCCTGCCTCATTTACTTGCTCTGTTCTGCTGGCAGCTGGCAGGAAGCCAAAATAGTAGCTCTTACTCATTTTCTTGCCCAGACAAGAACAAGTACAAAGCCAGACACCATTGCTCAAGACTGAAGGGAGCAGTTTAATCTGTTCTCTGATGCTTTGTGAAAGAAACCTGGGGCTAGAAATTACTAGTCCTTCAGGCTCCTAAAAAAACAGTTCAGTTATCTTAATTAGTATTTATATCTCTCATTAAAACATGTTCACTTTCTACAAAGGAGAAGAAAATATCAGTTAATCTTTCTAATTTGTAGACAGAGAATCATTGGTTATTTTGTTGCTCATTTTAAAATGTAACAGTACATTTTACAACRGCCCTATATTCATTTCTTATTTATTTCATACAGTTTCTATAACTCATCCTGCATAACTCAACACCTAGCATAAACTGTAGGTAATTATTCTTAGCTCTTAKTATTTATCAAAGGACCTCAGAGAACTTCAGCTGGCAGCAGGTKCCTGATGACTTTATATGAGTGAATGGCTTAGGGTCTTCGCAAAACTATAAATGTGCACTAACTGTATTTATGTTTGTGTATTAACAACTGCTTTTCAGTGATATGAACTATATATTTTTATACCAATTGCTGTAGTTATTGCATTTTGCGTCCTACTTTTCTTTTCCTTTTTTTTTTTTTTTTTTTTTAAATAGTGTTCCCCAGAACTCTCTGTTGCACTTCTGGCAGAAATATTCATATAACTAGAATGTGTGTCTTTTTCTTGTTCTACAGTTTTTGCTCAGATTAAATTTCTCAGTGGTGCTGGAAGAAAGATAAGCCAAAATGAGACTGCAAAATCATGCAACATTCTGTTAATTTTAGAAAGAGAGTCTGTAGCATGCCATAAAAGTGTAAAATTGAATGTATCATATTCCATGTTTTCTCACCTTGAAATTTTACTGTTTTTAATTATTTTTATGGCAATGTAATTTCTTTACTTTTTTCAGAATAATCCATTTTTCTCTGCTAAAAGATAGATAGTAAAACTATTTTTTTTGCACAGAAGTCTCTAAGTATAMCAGCTTTCTGATAAGACAGGAGAAACCTTTTTTCTGTTTTTATCTTATCTAYAAATTAAAGTATTGATATGTCAGAATTCTCATTGACTATTATGAGCAGAAACACAAGCAAACAGCATCTCTATCTGATTCATTTTAAGTTTGTAGATTCATGCTTTATTTCAGAAGCACACAGTAATTTGCACAACTTGCTTGGAGTCCCACTGCTGTGGGCCCCATCTTCAAAACAAATCTAGCATTAAATCAACCTGTTTAATGTCTGAGTATTACGTGCTTCACAACCTCCAGAAAGTTTTCTTAATAACATGACCCTTACCAAACTCTGACTTCTTAATACTTCTGATGTTACTCTGGAGTGAAAGTTAATTCAACCTTTGTTTTACTTGCACCAATTTTATTGATCTTTGAAGCCTTTGAAAAGCTTATTTTAAATCAGAACTTTGAGAGAACCTGAAAGTAAATAGGAAGTAAATATGGCAGGTTAATATATGGGAGATAAGTGATCTTCTAAGATTAAAGGCAAATGAGTACAGCCCCTTTTTCTATATGCTGCCTGTTCATGAAGAGCCTTCCAGCCTTCTAATACATGAGGAAAACCAGCTGCTAAGGTACTTGCAATGGCTATTTTTTAAAGAGAACTTGCTACTGTCAGATCATTCCACTATAATTTAAACCACGGGCTTGCACTAAAAAGTTGCAGAAGAGATATAGAATTTTAATTCACTGTGTTGTGCACCTAAAAATCACTGTAACCTAGTAAAGTAACACTTGTTAGAGACATTAAAGATCGGTGTTTAAACAGATTCTCTCTATTTACTTTTTTTCTTCTTCTTTTCTCCCCTTAGCCCAGGAGACAGCTGACGTGAAGCTGGATACCACACCTTGCATCCCTCACTCACATTAAAACTTGATCCTTCAAATGTTCATGCAGCAATATATAAAACCGTAGACATAGTCACAGAGATGATTGTTAGGCTTGATTGCATTTATGCAGAGTGGCTGAACAAATGCAATTGTATGGAGCTTTATAGTATGACATACTAGMTTGGATTACTGGAAGAAGAGGAGAAAGTAGTATGTGATAAAAATGCTTACATAACTTTGGTATATATGAGCATGGTGCTGACATAAAAATAAGCGGAGAGAATATCAAAGTGGCTGTGACTACTGCGGGATATTTTTTCCCCTCTGGATGCTATCAGTTTTCTTTTCCAGTATTYACTCTTATTAGGACAGCAGCGGTCAGTCTCTTGGTACTGACTTTARTATCTACCAGACCTCAAAACATACTATACGACAAATGGGAAAGAGTRAAGAGCTCAGGATGAAATCCTCCATGCAAATCTTTCTGAATCTGGGACCAAGACATTTGGGTCCTGGTTGCCTCTACTTTTAGCACTCTCAAAAACGGCCTTTTAGAATAAATGCTGTCCCTCAGTCTTGAGTTATTTACCAGTTGTCCTCTGGTGCATACAGCCACAGGAAATGCATTTACTAACATAAACACAGTGATAGCAATGACTTCCAATGACATTTGAGCACTTTAAAGTCTCTGTGAAGGCAAACTGTTGTGATAAAAGGCAGCTCCAAAGAGCTAACAAACTGTGCTGGGTTGCATCCATTTACATTTGCATAGTATGGATTTGAGAAACTGAGTTCAGCAAGCTAAATGGCATTTACCTGAGGACAACAAACCAGCAACATATTATACCGAGAAAGAACATTATTTTTAATCTTGCATGAAAAAAGGAATCAATGTTTTGGAATTTTTAATGTCTGTAGAAATGCTGCTTGAATGGCTTGCCCTAGAATGAAATTTAAGTTTCTCATATCTATTTCATTAAAGAAAAAAGTACAATCTGATAATCTGTTTTCAGATTTGTAAGTTTTGAAACTCTATGATAAACTTCTGTATCTGATAATAGCTTTAGAAAGTCAGTAAACCTCTCAGCATTAGGGTGGTATTTAAGTAGGAGAAAGCTTTTCAAAGATTAATAACTAGATGAACACAGAATCTTGCTCTAATTTATACTGGTGCTAGGCTTTAGAATAGAATGTTTAAGAATAAATCCACTGGGAAAAATGCAGTTTGGCTGGTGAGAGGATGCAGTATTCATTAAGTGCTCAACAGCAAGTACCAAGATTCATGATTGGATATGGAGACGAACAATTTCTTCTTACTTTAGGAATATGGAGAAAGGTTCATATAGGCAACACTTACCCCATTTGCAGTTCTGGCATCCATCTGCACAAGTTATGCAGTTTTCAGAGTCAGGGTCTTCCACTTCACCTGCGTTTTGAAAATGCCCAATTTGGGGTTAATTCTAAGTAAATGGAAGCCCAACATTCACAAGCACTCAGCAATAGTCCTGAAAATAATCTTTACCCAAACAGAGGAARGATTTGAAACAATTTCTCTTCTAGTTCATTCTGCGTAATCCTACTCGATTTGAGGAAAACGCTCCTGTTTTACACCGAAATAACAGAAGAACAGCACCAGAGCTGGAGGCCGAGGACCTCAGCATCAGGTTGCCCAGAGCGCCCTCCAGAAGAGGAGCCAACCCCGTTTGGCGCGTTGCAGAACAGATCAGAAGCGAGTGCCGAGCGCCCCGCCGCTGCGGTTACCTTCCCCGCAGCTGTGCCTGTGGCAGGCGTCCTGGGCCAGGTAGTAGCCCCTGGCGCAGCGCTGGCAGCGCCCGGCGTCGCGGCACACCTGGCAGTGCGGCGCGCAGGGCACGCAGCGCCGCTCCGAGTGGAAGTGCCCCGGCGGGCAGCCCTCCCTGCACTCCCCGCGGTAGAGGAAGCGGTCGATCCCTCTCCTGTCTGTGGGCAAAAGGGAAAATGAACAAGCAGGGAAAATAACTCAGTAACAAATGGCGCGGAGGTAGGAAAAGCAGCGTTATTTAGCACCGCTCCCTCATCAGAGGTAATTGGTGTTGCCTGCTAATTGCACTGCCYGCACTCTTCTGCACCAGGGGAGCTAAAATACGAAAATGTTCTGGAGCCCCAARCTCTTTCACATTGTTGAGAGATATATGGCATAAAGATGCTATGCTAGCAAGTCCATGCTATTTACATCAATCAATCTAATCAAACAGGGGTCAAGAGATTGTCATTACTGGGATCCCAACATTCCCTTGCCACAAACAGAGTCTCTCCAGCCAGAAAATATTTGTTTTTTAAATGTAAAGCTGTTAATGTGAAAGCAAAACTACCCTCTTTACCTTTGAAAAGGATCATCYGTTTCCATAGTGGATTAAACTGTAATCCTCATCCTAGTCACTGCTAAACTCTGACAGGCTCCGATTTGAATCTGAAGCACAAATGCGCCGCTGTCTGATATCAGAGCATTTCCTAGCGGACAGGGTGCTTCAAAAGGCTTCTGAACGAGGCCTGCGGAAACACCTGAACTCACTGTGCTTGGGCATGAAGAGTTGCCATTTACAGGCACTATGGTATAAATTACATATGTTAAGGCGGTAAGGGTATTATTTAGCTGTTAACTACAGAGCATTCAAAGTGTTTGTTTATGGTAGAATATATCTGCAGCTACAAAGAGGGCAGCTATGCTAGTGAACAGCTGCTGCATTGTATGAGAAACAATCCAGACTTTGTTTCTTTTCAAATTAGAGTGAACTTTTCCAGGGTCCTTGGGGTGTCACTCTCATCAGAGTCCTCACTTCTGCACCATTTATTTTGCTATGCCCAGTGGTAGGGAGAGACTGGAGGAGCAGTTAAATGAATTTCCCTCTCATGTCTCACCTAGAGTTTGAAGCCCGCATCTGTTCATCTGCAGAGCTGAAAATTAGCACTGTGGTCTCATCATCAGTACAACTAATTAATGCCAGTCATACTAGTGGTTTTTTTTTTTTTTTTAAGTTGGATACTTACTGCTAAGTGAAACCWGGGTCACCCCTCGCTAGGATTAAATTCGAAATAACTCCTGAGAGGAAAAAGCTGTGAATCCACTGTCATTCCTCAGAAGTACATCAAAAGTCTTTTGTTTAAGAAAAGAAATTAAGTTAAATCCGAGCTACAATTTCATTTACAGTGTGTTTACTGTTCATTTGCAGACAATACACAAATATTTACACCTAATGACCCTAAAGCTCTTTATCCACCCGGCATTAGAGAGGAGGGAGAGAGGAATTTTCTTAATTTATATGACATAGGTTCTTATAAATGAGATGAGTTGCTTTCCTGAGACAACAGAGCCAATGATATTGCCCTCTGTCTCAACTTAATTGCTATAACAAATAATATGACAAAAGAGATACTTAAATGTGTAATGATGTGGTAGTGTGGCAGTGTATTAGTGATAACCTCCTGTTGGCAGGGTCAGGGGGCTCTGTGGGGGCCCCCGCAGCGTCTCCCAGGCAGGTGCTGTGGAAGTGCCCGGCTCCCTGCATG